GGGCAAGCAGGTCCAGCGCAACGCGGCCAACGCCCGCGAGAGGGCCCGCATGCGGGTGCTGAGCAAAGCCTTCTCCCGCCTCAAGACCACCTTGCCCTGGGTGCCGCCGGACACCAAGCTCTCCAAGCTGGACACCCTCCGTCTGGCCTCCAGCTATCATCTATGATAACATTATGTTCTCCACCCCATGTTTATTTGTATGTTCCTTAAATTGCAAAACCTTTCTAGGGGTCAAACATCCTTGGAGTTAAGTTTGGTGGAGGTGAGATCACTGCAAGGTCACCCATATTCAGCAGGCGCTGAGTCACATACTGGTAATCCCGGACTTCACAACACCTACAGAAAGAGTTGGTAGATAGTTGATTTATAAGATAAAAGAGGGTTGGGTTGATGTTACATCCTGGTTTTACTCCTTTTTCTTGTTTGATGAACTTGTATTGTTCTTTATGTGTTACACACATTTGATGAATTGGCAAATGGATCTGATGAACTTGTGGGTTTTCTTTCTGCTGCTTTTGTTGTAACAAAATTCAGGCTGGGGCGGGCGGGGGGGGGGAGGCAGAGACCAAGGCGAAGTTTGGGGGTCACCGCTGGAGGAGGGGTCATCCCCCCCGTCACCTCTCCTTTTGATGCTGCCGTCTGGGGCAGGGCGTCGGATAGGGAGGGGGAGAGAGAGTACTTCGTGTCGGTTGCTTGTTAGTCCGGTTTGTAGCCTCAGTAGATGGCGGGGAATCCGGCGTCTTTAGATGACAACTGGTGCCGTCGAAGGAAACGAGAAGCCCAACGGGCTAGTCAGAAGCTCGGGTTGGATCTCCAGGATCCTTCGACGCCCCCTTGGCCGAGGGGGGAAAGAGGCCACGGGAGAGACACGCGCTCAGCCGAATCCCGCCCCGAGGATGCAGAACGACGGCTTTCCTTCGCTCGGAATGAAAACCGCTACTTTTGTGTCGACGTCTGCCTTGTTCCTTCCTTTTTTGTACGAGCGGAAGCAAATAACATTTTTTTAAAAATCAAACTTAGTTGGATGTTTCTTGTGTGGTTACAGGAAGGCGAGGTGGGACTGATTCGCTTTTAGTCCCCTCGAGTATATATACAGTATAATAGCGCCTATCTTCTAGGGACGAAATCCAGCCTGGTGTTAAAGGGTGGGCGAAGGTCAGCCAGTATTTGGAACTTCAAGTCCGTCCTGTCCCGTTACTCAGTCAGGAAGCGAACGTGGCCTGGATCGGGTGTCCTCTGTCTCCTCGGAAGCCTGGACCAGAGGGAGCTGCCGTTGCCCGCTTGGCACAAGGCTGTGCCCCAGGGAGACCCCACGGAGAGAGGTCTGCCTCGGAAGGGAAGCCTCGTGGGATGCGCTGGCGCCCACTCCCAGGTCGGCGGCGGAAGAGACGGCGGGAGCCGAGCGTCGGGATCGGGCCCTTGGCTTTGACCGCCCTGGCACGGGAGGTTTCGGTGGCTGGAAGTTTCAGCTGCAGAACAGATTTAGCCCCCCCCCCCCCAAAAAAAGAAGAAGTTTCAGGCGCAGAAACAAAATGAGAACGGTTGTAAAAAGTTCGCATCCGGCTGGTCCTCTCTTAGTATGTTCGGTGATTGGATTCCGTTTGCGCAATTGAGAGCTTCGCGTCGCGCATTTTGACGTTTCTCCTGTTCTAATTCGCTGTTTTATGGTTCGGGCTACAGTTGCTTGCAGTTGGGGGGGGGCGCGGACAGAAAGCGAGAGAAACAAGAGAGCAGCGGTTTCGACGTTTTCGCCATCGGGAGCACAGAACGAGATTCGAAATGCGGGCAGTAATAAAACAAAAATACTCGCTTACTGTTATGTGGACAGCCTGTGACGCCTCCAGGTTCCAGACGAGAGAGCAAACAGAGAAAAAAATTCGCGTCACTGTCGCTTTTAAAAGACAAAATTATGTCGCTTTTAAAAGACAAAATCGAATCTATGTGCCCCAGTGAATTAAACTCCGTCCAGGTTTTAAAAGACCTAGACTCTATTTTAAATGAAGGGTAGGAAATTACATTATTTATTTTCCACGAAAAAGTAGAACTCCAGGGAAACGAGAAGAACAGGTCACTGGTCACTAGAGTTGGGCCGTTGTCTTTGTGGTTATTATGTGTTCTTATAAGTAACTACAATCCTTATAAGGATATTACTTGTATAAATGAATTGTGTTAATATTAGTTGGAATAATGATGTTTCATATTAGTTAAATTAATACTGTGCTGTTGATTTACTAAATTAGTTTGCAACCCTAATCATAGAAATCAAAAACGTTGTGTTCAAAATATATTCTAATGGATGCATCATTTAGTGACCCATCCTTTAGGGCTGGACTGTGCGGATTCTCATTGTTGGTGTACAATTGTACATACGATTTTTATATGTCATATTTATAAGACACTAATATTACAATTGCAACAGTAACAGTTGCCAGTAATGACAGTACTAACAGATAAGTAGCAATAATTGGTTTAGAACAAAAAGTTGGCTAGATATATTTTTAAATCAAATGTACATATTTTGTACATTTTAAAAGCTCGACCGTAAATCAGTTGCTTTCATTCTTAGAAAAATGAGAGATGTAAAAAAATATTCAGTTATAAAATGACGCATTCACTCTACTCATCAAAAATGGTGTTGACCTCAAAAGAACCTTTTGAGGAGTCAAAGCCAAAGCATAGAGCAGAAAAGAAATGAAATCTCTGAGTCCAAAACACTTTTAGAAATAGATAGTGCTGTTATCATTTTCAAAACAACACTGCAGTGAAGGGGAGCCGTGTCTTGACGTTATCCAGCAATAAAGAGGGGAGCTGTTTGGTTTTTATCTGTCCGCTACAAGATGCCTTTGTCTGTAGTGTTAGTTATATGATTTAGGAAAACATCATTTCTATGAAATGTTGGATTTGTTGGTATCTAGGATGAATAAAGTTTGATCTGTCACTCCAAGGAGATTTATGATGAAATTGAGAGAGAGAGAGAGAGCAGGCACTCAATGGGTAAAAATGCCTCAGTGGGCAAAACATTATGGGACCGCATGAAAACTCCATATAATTTGGTGGAGCCATCTTAAAAACCTAGCTGACTGCTCTCGGTAGCGAGACAGTCTGGCCGAAAGCACTTCTACATATTGTTTAGAAAGAACACCTGGGTAGTCTATGAACTCCTGGCAGTTGGCTTTGTTTATCACAGCTGAAGTGCTACACCATTCAGAGTACTGATTTTTCTTTCTCTCTCTCTCTCTCTCTCTCTTTTCCCCCCTCTTTCTCTTTGCCCATCCTTTCTTTTCCCCCTTTCTTCCTTCTTTCTTCTCCCTGGCTACAGACTTGGCCCTTCATGGTTGCTGGCAAACCAGAGAATGAGTTGAAAGAAGCAGTGAACACAACACGGTTGTGTGGCCCGACAGCATCCTGACCCAGGATTTTCATGCATGGGAAAACCAGGGAGCTGCATATATGTGAGAAGGTGTTTCTGCACACATAACATACATGCATTTACATATGAATGGTGTGAGTGGGGAGTTAAAGACGGTGAGGACAAGACGGCTTCCCCATGAAGGAACCCTAAAATTGAAAAGAAGACCAAATGCACTGTGCCAAAGGGGAAAGGGAAGAACCTCAGCAATCTAGCATCCCGAAGAGTGTATATTTAACTTTATTAAATTGTGTATATTTGACTGTCCTGCAACAATGCCTTGCTGGTTCAAGAGCGGTTCTCTGGATGCCACCAGACTTTGGCCTGTCTTTTTGTAGCCCACCTTGTGAAAGACGGCGATTCCTAGAATCAATTATTTTAATAGGCACATCTCTCCAGCACAATTTGTATTGAAGATATTCTATAGATATATTTTTCTTTAAAACTGGTTTTGTGATACTTTTTGTGAATAATAATAAAATATCCTAAATAGGAAAACGAACAAACGTATCATGCACACAAAGTGGTGTGGGTCTCATTTGATTTGGATTATTATTTATTTAATTTTCACTGAGCAAGACTATATTATTGGGTCACCTACAAAGCTTAAAACAACACCGTGTGTCATGATGTGATACGGTTTGACCCCAGCTTCTGAGATGTTTATTTTCCTAATTAAGAAGACGTAGACCATGTCCATTGGAGGGAGGGTCGGTAGTTTAGAGGGCTCAAAAAGCAGCATGTAGGTAGATGCTGAGAAAAAGGGCTTTGGAGTATATGATAGAAAACTGGGAATTGAACGTACAATGAAATGAGTAGCAGAATTCAATATTTAGTGAAATTCACAGCCCACTCTGCAAATTAATTAGAGAAACTCAACATTAAAACATTTTTATTTCTAACGGTAAAACGTTTTAGTCTACAACGTAGGTGATTTGGAATTATGGTTAGGGTACGGAGAGCAACCTGTTTTAATTGCCTTTATAGGCCATATTCATAGCTGTTGTAAGCGGATATATTGAATGCATTCTTTCTGAATGTCACTACGTACTGCCAAACCGAAAGCAGACGATGCACAATTTCTTCAGTGGTATTAAATTGTAATGAAAGGTGTTTGCAGATGAAACTTTCTTGTCACATTACCAGGCTGCAAACATGGAACATTTACAAATAATTTAGATACTGCTGTCTTCCATTTGTTACCATTCCTCTTTTTCTGCAGTTTCTTCTGTCTTTTTCTTTAACATAAAAACAAAATCCATTAGAAACATAAAATTGAAATGTGCCCATGAAAGCGTCCGGGTTGTTGATATAATCAAAATTATGTGGTTCCTATACATGCCAAGGGGTTAAATGTGTGGGTCCAAAACACGTTTATTTGGAATTGTGGCACCGTCCAGATGTTTGGTATGGCAGCTTCCACAAACTCCAGCTACGGAGGTCAGGGATGGTGGACATCATTGAAAATAGTTGGTTGGTGTCATGTTGGGGAAGCTTTATGTGCATATAAAGCATTTAAAGTTTACAAATGACCTGGAAAACAAACTCATGTGGTTTATATCCTAGCAGCACATATAGCTATGTTTATAGTTTGCTTATAGTTTTATAAAAATAGACATTTTATACCCAGCTATAGATTTATGTGACTGGAATCCTGTTAGTGTTCACATAAAGCTGGTGTAAGCTGTAGTGGTTAATTGTGGCTAATTGACAAGGTGCAAGCATGTATTTGAATTGCACAATTGGATGTGTGACCAGGGATGCAGACAAGGTGCACTCAAGCACCTTCTCAATTAGCTGCAATCAGCTGTGACAGGTTACACAAACCTTACATAAACATCAGTATGGTTCTGGCTAATAGTTTTATGTTTTTTTCTCTCTCTTTAACACAGCAATCAAATAGTTGCCTTTGGTAAGATTTTGAATCCAGGGAGGTTGCAGTCAGTAACGACTATATTATGTGGTTGAATAGTCAGAGATAATTAATAATCTCCAGAGATTTGGAATAATTAGTTAAAATAATGTAGTTGCCTATAATGAGTTATTGATTTTGCTAATGAGGAGGCTTATATTTCAGAAGTAATGAGTTTAAAGTGTTGTTACTTTTTAGAAGTTTTGGTGTTATGAGTAACATTGTATGGTTAAGTTTAAAAGGTAAATTAGTTTAAGAGTGTATTCGCGAAGGCTTTCATGGCCGGGATCTAATGGTTGTTGTGGGTTTTTCAGGCTCTTTGGCCGTGTTCTGAAGGTTGTTCTTCCTAACATTTTGCCAGTCTCTGTGGCCGGCATCTTCAGAGGACTGGCGAAAGTCTTCAGAACATGGCCAAAGAGCCCGAAAAACCCACAACTATTTTAAGGGTATTTTCAGAGCCACTTTGACAGGATTTTTCAAGGTTAATGCTGTTTCCCCTCAAACCAAACATAAGTGCCAATGAATGGTGTATATGTTGCTGAGAGTAGTTGTGATGGGGGGAAAAGGCCAATGCAAAAGACGCATGATAAAACGTAACTGCTCTGGTTGTTAGGGACCAAACTTTAGGACAGCCTTCCCTGACATGTCTCTTTCTAGATCTGTTGAACTATGTATAAAACCCAACATTGCCTGCTATAAGGTTGTGAGTTTTACACCTTTCTGGAATATGTTAGAGAAGTTATGCCACTTTTTGTCAGTCAAGTTCTAAGTTTAATGTTGTCAGTCAATATAGCTGGAACTCAACTTGTTAAAAAGAAAAGTCAACCATTCAACATTAATATCTTAGATTTTTAAACTTATGTATTGTCACCAAAACTTGTCATATCTTTACTAATGTTCCAGTTTCTTCTCTTTGAGATCCACTGAGCAAACACTCTAAACAATAACATTTATCCATCCATGTGTCTAATTTAAACAATAAGGGCATAAGACCAGGTGGTTTGGTCACTGACCCAATGCTTGAGCTTCAGCATTTTAGGACGTACTTGCTTCTGGTATTTTTTTAAGATTCAAGGGGAAAAGTAGGGTGCAATTTAGAGAGTTTGATGTGCATCTGATTTTGCCATCGGCTGTAGTGAGAAGGATTGACAAGGCAAAGTTCACCTCATAGTTTTGGAGGAATACATGTTTCAGATTTTTTTAAAGATAATATTTATAATGTATCATGTGTGTCAGATGTGTGCCTTCTGCATTTTGTAAAAATATTCAACAGTGATGATTATGTTCATGATTATTCACATACCCAATGATGCACATGACACATTTAAATTGTATGTAGTTGTGTATAACTCAATTTACAATCTTATTGTCGATATTTCAGGATGAAATACGGTCTGTTCTTAATGTTTTTCGGGTTCTGGGCATTGAGTTACCTAAATAGTTCTACTCCTGACCTTAGAAGGATAGTTGTAGTTAATGACAGAATTTTATTTTATTTCACAAGATTCCTGGCTTTGAGAACAGGTTTCACTAAGAACTTGCAATATGGCTGGAGTGAAAATTTGGCAACAAGTGATAGAAGCCTGATGCAGTCATACGTATCACCACAAGCTCTTTTGTGGAGTATGTGTCCAGTAAATCAAAAGGGGGCAACCAGATACCATCTAGAGGCTTAGGACTACAAGTCCCATGTTTCCTTGCAATGCCCACAGTGGTAGGCGCTTTGGGGGGGTGTTGTAGTCCAAAATACCTAGAGGCCACTGGGTTCCTTGGCCTTGTTTTATATTATGATGGAGGCAGGGGCAGTGCTTCTACATTATGGAAACACTGATGAAGCAAGAGTTATTTGCATGGGAAGGATACCCCTGCTTGGCTGACCCTTGTGGTGCCTTAGCTTCTTAATTTAAACATCGTTCTATTGATCTGATTTGTTACTCTGTGAGAGATTAAGCTGAGAGATAAACAGAAAGTGCTGGGCTCTTTCTCCTGAACCAACTCAGTCCAGAGGCAGCTGATGCGCCAGATCCCAGGGAAAACTGTTTAACGTTTCAAGGTTATGACCGCACTGTTTACAAGATGTCTTCAGTTATTTATACTGTTATTCCCAGTAGAAGGGCTTTAAATTTCCGCTTCACTTACTATTTCTGTGTGTGTGCGCATGCATGCGCATGCGTGTGTGCATGCATGCACTTCTCAGTCCACCACCTGGCATTTTATTGTATCTTCCCCCTCCCCCCGGAAAGATTGGGCTTTGTCACCATGTTACCAGGCAGGGAATCACTTTTGAAAGTAAAGGTTAATTTGCAAAAAAGAAAGGTATAAAAATACAATACAAGATAAGCAATCAAACAGAAGGCACACAAGCAGTTCCCTTATGTACTAGGTCAGATCCTTGTCCCGTCTAGCCAAATTTTGTTAACTGGCAGCAAACGTTCCCCAGGGTTGGAGGTGGAATTTTTTATTAGGCCTACCTGGAAATCCCTGGAATTCTCTGCTGGTCTCTCGTCTAAGTACAAACCAGGCTTGACCAAAATCAGGTAAACTTAGATGTATTCAAGATGGCAAGGTGCTGAGGAGACATGCTAGTAGGGGAAGATGTGGTTAACATTGCTTAAACTACAATCCTACAACAAGGAATTTAACAGCACATTAAAGATCAACTCACTGACGCTGCAAGCCTGTCTGTGCATGTCTAGCAGAAGTAAGATTCATTCAGTTCAAGTTTACTCCCCAGTAACTGTGTCCAGGATTACAGGTTTATATAAATTTACCTTGAGTAATAATAGCAAACAACAAACATTTTGTTATTGTTTACCAAGTGAGGTCAAGTGACACAAGATGTAGCTGCCAATTTTTTTACGGTGTTACAGACAGCCTAAATGAATACAAACACTATCAAATGAATAATTTCCTATCAGTATGGGTGTCTCAGCCCCCCACACATACACACCAGTGAGTAACAGGCATCCAAAGGACAAATAAACATGTAAAAAGAGCCGATTCACTGCTAGAGTGTGCTAGAATTTCCCAGGATTAGTTGAGATCATGTTTCAGTGTCAGTTTTGACAAAGAATTATGACACAGTAGCCTTCATGTTGGAGTCATTTACATTCTGGCACATGATACATTTCTGCCTCATGAGCAGACAATTCTGTGCAGTATCTATGTCTCTGTGCATGGATTTATGTGGTGGTAATTACATTTGTGAACGTGGAAATCAAGAGTATAATGTGCACGTGGCACAAGCAATATACATCCAGTAATATGGATGCACGGTAATGCCCCCTGTATTCTGTGCTAACTAATGTAGACTTAATACTACATCCTGTTTCCAAATTAATTAACAGGAATTTGGATCTTACTTCACATAAGATCTGCATGGTGGGGGAATCTGTGTTTTTTTTAGATATTGTTGGACCACTCTTCCCATCTTCCTAGCCAGCCTGATCAATGCTAAAGGATGATTGGCGTTGCTGTCTGGAAGCATCGGTACGATCATACACTACCTAGGGATGATTGGCGTTGCTGTCTGGAAGCATCTGTACGATCATACGCTACCTGTACGATCATACGCTACCTATTCCTGCTTAAACTATTCATTTAAAGGGTGCAGAGAAAGGATAATACAACAGAGTGAAAGAGGTGAGGGGTGAGTGGATCTCATGAAGCAGTTTTGCATATATGTCTAAATTAATGTTAAAGATTGGATGGCATTTTTCTTGCACATGGGGGCACACATGCAAGCACACACATACCATGTTTCCCCGAAAATAAGACATTATATTAATTAATTATATTAATTTTTGCTCCAAAAAAGCAATAGGGCTTATTTTCAGGGGATGTTATATATATATATATTCATGTATAACAATCTACATTTATTCAAAGACAGTCATGTCATCTTCGTCCAGTTGCTGCACATTGGTGGAGGGCAGGGTTTCAATTCACTGGCCCTTATTTTGGGGGGTAGGGCTTATATTATGCGCATCCTGAAAAATCATACTAGTGATTATTTTCAGGTTAGGTCTTATTTTCAGGGGAACAGGGTATGTGTCACCTGCACTGAATTTTTTTAAAAAAATTCTGCAGGCCAGAAAT